ACAAAAAAAGTCAAAAAAAAATATGTTTGACGAGGATTAAATTTATTCATATGGAATTATATTTTTTAGAAAAAAATAAAAATTTAGATTAAAATTATTTTTTTTCATTTCCGTTAAAGGAAAAGGGTATATGTGAGTCATTTCTTTACAGGTAAGGGTATATATGAGTTACTTTCATAACCAGGGGTATATCAGCTCTAAATGACAAAGTTGAGGGGTATATCAAACCCTTTTCCCATAATTTAATAAACAACCTCTTGAATGAAAAATTGTGTTTTATTTAAATTTATGAAATTATTTTAGATCAAATAATTTTTAAATTTGTCCTATTTTATCTTGTGTATTACAAACACTATAATTACAACCAAAATATAAAAAAAAAATATACATATTTAGATTTAAAAAAAACATATACATACTGAAATATATATATATATATATATATATATATATATGTTGAAATTTAAATTCAAATAATCAAATTATTAGAAAAACAGTCTAAAACTTAATTTAATGTATCTTAAAAATAGTAAAATATTCAAATGGGTGTGTCTACGTATACATAAAGCATATGCTATATTGAACAAATCCTCTTGGTCTGGTGATGTGAATAGCTCCTAGGCTTCGGTGGAGCATCATTTTCACTCACATATCATGTCTTTGCTTTTTCGCAACCATATTTTCATAGAATTACTCCATATCTAGTATGAGAATAATCGAATCAAAAATCTAAGATGATTTTGAAATTTTGTTGCTAAGAAATTTAGCAAAATCAGCTGCAAACAGTCTACAATCCCTTAAAAATGTAGAAGATACATTATAAATTGTATTGAACGTATAACTCAAAACAAAATCGTATAAAATTTACAGAGTATCATTTTATTGTTGCATAATATCTTGTACAAATTTAACATCAAATGGGTGGTCTGATATAATAACCTTTCAGTTTTCTTGTCCTCGTAAGTAACCACTGATTACCAGTCAATTCGCTTTGATCCATCGTATTAATATTTTATTTATGATACATTGCAACTTAATATAATGTATAATGTATCATATTTTCATATCTGATACTCATTATGACACATTCAATAATATTATTTTGTATCAAGTACATGATATGTAGAGACTGATACTTGATTCATTAGATTAAAACACATTATATATCATAAAAATTGCGAGTGATACATAATTCGTCAAATCACAGTATATTTATAACTTGATATATTGAGAATAACTATGAACATTAGTTATATTTTTGTATCAAATACAAGAAATGTTGTGAGTGACACATACTACATTACATTTATATGTTGTAATGCGATAAACTTAGGGTTTTATGATTAACAAGCTTAGAGTTTTATGTATCAAACAATTAAATCGAATGATGATACATTGCAATATAATAAAATTACTTTTTCAATAATGTATGATACATTTAAATCAACTAGATGCAAGATTGAACATAAAAAATAGTGTAGAAATATATAAAAAATTATTACCTTTAGTAGATTGAGTCAAGAAATTATAGATGAAATTTTAGTACCCTTTTTCGATAATGTTCCAGGCATTTGAATCAATTAATAGATGCAATATTGAACATAAAAAAAGCGTAGAAATAAATTAAAAATCATTACCTTTGGTAGAGTAGGTTGAGAAACTGTAAATGAAATTTTTCTATTTTTTTTTAAGAAACATGACTCATATCAGGAAATAAGGATGAATTATTTGTTTGAAGAAGAAGGTGGCAGTTAAGAAGACAATACGAAAATATTTTGATTAAATGATTTGAATTTGATTGGCTAGAGAGAATCCTTTCACAGTTCAAATTGAGATGAGTGTGACTAATAAGATTATGAAGTGAAATTAGGGAGAGATTAAAGGTGTGAAAAAAGAAAAGAGAAACGTGGGTTAGGGCTGGACACATATATATTTGACTGACTTAAAAATTAGGAAAAAATAAGAGATTTTGAATATTTTAAAATGGTAGGGTATAACGGAAATTGTGGAAAATAAAAATACGCATATGGGTAATTTATCCAATTTTTATTTGCACATTAGTCTCCTAGAAAGTCCTATAAATAAAGGGCTCTCATTTGTAAATTCTGCAAGTCGTTATTTTATTTTTTAAAAATAGCTTAGTTAAGTAATATCTCACCAATTTATTACTTTTTATATCATTGATTAAGTTATTATAATAGTTAATAAATTTGTTATCTTTTTATTTAAATGACAATTAATTAGTGACGTAAAATGTTAAAAGATATAAAGAATGAATAAATATATCAATTGCAAATTGAATTACAAATGAATGTGTCTTTAATTTGTTTTAAATTTCATAAAAATTTAAATAAAAACTTAAATGTTATTCTATAACTTTGCCAAAATCGCAAGCGAAAATGGTACATCGCTTGATTCTACTCTCTATTCTTATATATCCTTATTATCATTATTATTATTATTGTCAAAAGTCGGTAATAACTCAAAACTCAAAAATAATTTTTTTTAGAGCATACCATTACAACTGGTACTCATTATCATGAACATTACGAAATATGAATGTAAACAATTTTTGGCTAGCTGACTGCACTGCTCCAACGCAAGTGCCTTCCAAATTCTCTTTTCATCATTTCAAGTGAAATCGACACTGAAGTTGATTTTAACAAAGGGGCAAAGTATGGATTGACCGTTGCTCTTAAGCCACAGACTAGTGGGTTTGGAGAGATATGAGGCGCTAGTCAAATTGTAATCATGCTTACTATGTGGCCATTTATGTTTCGACTATAAAAATAATTAGACGATTGTCAAAATCTATTTTTTTTACTAAATTGTTAGATTCACTTTCTTTCGTGAAACTTACTCGATGTTATTTTTTTTGCTATTGGGAATATATCATTTGATGTAAATGCTTACTTCTATTTTATTTTAAAATTAGAAAAAAATAGATGGCCTGCTGACTTAATCAATATATCTGAAGATTTTGTGAGGAAAATGAAAACTACTTAATGTAATGTTTTAATTGTTTGGCATGTATAGGGACTACTGAATTCAATGGAGTGATGGGTTGAGAAGTTATTATGAGAGTCTCAAATCTTCAAGATCCGAATTTTTATGAATGAATATTTTTTTATTTGTCTATCATATTATTTTTTTTCATTTCTCCTAATATAACGAAAATCACATATGTACATTATTAGTTTAGCCTTTCGCCTCAAATCCTTAAATTGTATTGAAATGACATTAAATTTGGTACATGAAAAAGGTCTTTTGGTCTCAAATCGTTTTGAAATGACTTGTGAGCAAATTTTGATATATGAAAAAATTGTTTTGAAATGAGATATGAAAAATGTACATGAAGAAAGGTCTTTTTGCCTCAAATAGTTTTGAAATGACTTATGAGCAAATTTTGATAAGAAAAAATCTTCTTCATAAAAAGGAAATGGAGATGCGGGGTATCGATCCCCGTACCTCTCGCATGCTAAGCGAGCGCTCTACCATCTGAGCTACATCCCCATTGTGGTTTACCTTGGCTAGTATCTTTACTTGTTGTGTTGTTTTCTTTTCAAACTGCAAGCCCACTCGGGGTATACAAAACTTAAAGGACTGCAATTTTCCTCAAAATATTCCGTATCTTGTATCGTTTTGCAACAATCGAAGCTCGACCAAATTCGAAATGTTAAAAAGATTACTATTCCAGGCTTCAACTCAGCGTCGTTCGCTGTTTGGTGCTTCCGCGTCACTCTCATGGTGTCGTCAATATTCTTCTTCTCCTGCATCAACTTCCCAATCTCTTAACGGTACTTCTGTCGAACACTTGGAGGACAGCGAAGTTAGTACCACTCCCCCTTCTGCAGCAATCTCCATTGACCGATCTGGCCTATATAATCCTCCCGGTACTTTCCCTTTCTACATGCGTAGTATTT